TACGGAGTGAATTCAAGACTAATAGGAGAAACGAAATTAAAACTTGAATAAAGAAGAAGTAATAAACCGAAATTTAATGCAGTGACTAAAATATAATTGATTGCCTAGTGTTTCATATATAACCAAATGATCAATTAGTCTCTTTAATTTCACTCAAGGTTATTTCCATCCTCTTTTGATCACATCTCTTAATATTTTACAAGTTAAATATTTGCATAAATAAACTTCAGTGTCTGAATTCTAAGATGGACATAAGAAACTTGTTATAGACCAAAAAGAATATTTTCCACTCTCAGTTAACGAATTTAAAATCTGTGTTTTATTTACCATTTCATGGGTGGTCTGATAATTAAGTTCCGTAGGAGATATTTTTCATTCGCACTGTATTCAAACAATCCCTCCTAATAATTGTTTTTAAATTTTACAGCATGTGCTAATGAGCATTTGATAACAGCTGATTCCGGGAAAATTCTTCCTTTTTCGTAAATTAAATAAACCCTCCTCTCACGCATTCGGGTTCATAAATCTTCCTTAACAATAAATAGATTCAAATTAGTCCAATATAAGTTCCCCATGTTTATATGGTTTCATTACATATGATCGCAATTGAATATCTCTCAAGGGACAAGTTGAGCATATATGTTTATACTCTTGAAAACACGACGATAACAAGGTCAAGACGGATTTCGGAAATGAAGTGGAAATAGGCGAACGTTTTCGTTCTCAAGATGCAGAAATGCTTCACGAGAACTGGCTCTAAATTTTGCCTCCTCTGTCAAACTCATGCTTTTCCAAGTATTCACTTGGCAAATATCGATTCACTTCGTGAAGAAGATATTGAACTTCTGTTTGAAGGAAACATAATTGTAACTTCTTTTGACCAGAATTATTTGACCTTATTTCTACGTAAATATCACTTATGAGATAACCATTTCTTTTGACTACTTAATTAAGAAAGAACTCAAATAGCTTAAAGTTGTAAATATTGCGCTCAGTTACAAAAGTAAAAATTTATACACAGATCAAAACATTGTTATTAATTAACCCCGGACTTCTCCTATCATCAAAAAGTATTTATGCAATAGACATACCCCCCACGTGGTGCACCCTAGACGACGTATACTCATATGGTAAAAAGTCTATAACTCGGCAATTGAAGTCAAACTATTACGATTAGCCTGAAACATAACTATCATCAAAAAGTTTCAGCATTAATTTGCATTTATCTTAACATTACGAGTAGTTAATTTCATTTAAAAGTATTTCAAACGATATTTGCCAAATGAATGATTGAGTGAAGTAGTCAAAGTCATAAAAGTCCACTAACCATGCCTACAAAGGCCAGTTTGGATTAATCTCTTACTTGTACTCACTGATACATATTAAGTTGCATTTCTCTCCTTTTTAAAAAAACGTTCGTTTTCTACAAAAAATAGTTTTTTTCAAATTATGAAAATCCCATCCACTGGCCGATTTTCATGCTTGCAGCACTAACCTTAAAATCAGTATCGTCTTAGCCGATCAAAGATATTTTGCATAATTAAGTGAAAGAGAACAGATTCTTCACGAAAAATTAAATTTAAACGCAATCAACTCTAGTGGGAGTCTTCAATGTGACTATGCTGGCATTCATGTAGAGCATTCATCAACGACTATTTGACTATTTCCATACCGTTTTCTCTTAATGCATTCTGATGTACGCAGCCTGCTGTATTTATTTCAAATGGCAGGCGTTTTGATAGTTATCATTAGCTCTATAGCTGACTTTGGGCTTCGCAGAGGGAAGGTTCATCAAAGTAGCAGAAAGTCGAGGGGTAAAAGAGGCAGACAGACGCAAAGGTAGAGAAAAAGGTAAGATGAGTACTGTAGAAGGGGTCGAATATGACAACCAGGGGGGTCGTGGTAGTTTGAAGTCAGAAGTCAAATGCCGGTTAATAGACTTTTTTGCCGTATGAGTATACGTTGCCTAGGGTGCACCACGTGGAGGTAAGTCTATCGCACACCCTTCTACTGCGAATTAATAAAATGTGCCAACAGCTAAGCACGCACCACTCCCCCAATGTATATTTGATCTCCAGACTCCCCAATCCCAGATCATAACCTGATGCACTATTAAGTATATGTTGGGTACCCTCGTGGGAGCCACTAATCACTGAGCCAATCAAATTAATCGAGACATTTTTTGCGATGCTTTTCATAGGTTCCGGTGTTGGTGTAGGGGCCGGATTAATGTTATGATGACGCTAATGACGTTTAGCGTAAAAGCCTTTCGCGAAAGAGTAATTTCCATGTCTGCTGAATTTCTTCTAATTCTATTTAATTGTGTTGTCACCACTCTCGTGTTTTTTATCCTGATGTGTCTGTCAAATTTATCGCGAACACCCCGTCGAATGCTCACACAATTCCTTGTTTCTCTATTCTTGTTAGCTACTTATATTGTGATTTAAGCGGGAATGATGTGGAGAGCCATTGCTTCAAGAAGGTAGTAGGAAAACCATTTACGGCGTTTTTTATTTATTCTAATTAGATTTTAATCAGTCGAGTTTGGAATCACTAAAGGATTTGAACGTTATAATGTGTTTGCAATTATCCAACTTCCAAAGAAGCACAATAAATTCATCAAATTTGTTCGCACGTTAACAAATATGTCTCCTTATAAGTCATTTATACTTCTACGGCATACGATTCCAAAGATACCTTCTGTCCTCAGGTACTTACAAGCCTTCGTCGTCCAAAACTCATTAGACTTCTGGGAAGTGATGGCCGTTGGCGTGGATGGTTGATCAAAGGTGGTGAAGATCTTCGACAAGACTCGAATGTTCAACGTCTTCTCGGTTTTGCGAATCATGCAATCTCTTCTGGTTTAGTCGGAACAGAGTCGAATACCTCTGTCGCTCCCTTACGAACATACGTTGTAGTTCCTGTTAGTTCTCAACGAGGGATCATTCAATGGTTAGATGGAACAACTACTCTAATTTCTTTTTGTAAGAATGCGATGACCACAAAGGAATTGGAAAGATTTACGTGAGTTTCTTTAAGAGTTCAATCGCTAATTAATGTCACCTGAAACCTAAAGGGAATATTTTGCATTCCTTCCTTTTTGCAGTGAACTCAAGTCTCTAGATGCCGAAATCTCTCGTCATCAAGGTGATCCACTTTGGAGAAGAGATATGGAATCAATTGCAGCCTTAGTTGTCTCTCGTTTTACTGAGCTAGAAAGCTTTGTTTTTTCTCTTCGACTCATTAGACGTGGGTTGTTTAAATCAATTGCCACTTCGGCGGAACATTTTACCAATCTGAGATATCGATTAATCAATAGTTATGCATCACTGTCAGCTCTTTGTTTTATCTTGGGTAAGTTGATTTCGGATTCTGCGCTGAAATAATATCGAAATTGGCGTTAGAGGGTTAAATGATTGAGATATCTTCATCTTCTTCTTAAGATAACGCCTTTCTTCTAAGGCTTCTAACGATACAACTTGAGATTTTTAAAAATATTCAGTTCCACTAGAGATTATCGTAATCTTAATAACTTGACATTTGAGAAAATATTGTATTGTGGAGAGTTGGACCTATGTATCCTCCATCCCCTAACTTACTTCGATCTCCATTAAACCACGAAATAGAACGGAGGCAAGGTTTCGCTGAGAAAACCTCAATACAAACGCAAGTAAATTTTTTTAAAATGGCAGGCGTTTTGATAGTTATCATTAGCTCTTTAGTTGACTTCAGGCTTCATAGAGAGGAAGGAACATCAAAGTAACGGAAAGTCGAGGGGTGGGGAACAGAAGAGTGATTCACAGATGTAAGTGACAAACAGACGCAAAAGTAGAAAAAATGCAAGATAAGTACTGTGAAAGTGGTCGAATATGACATACAGTGGGATCATGCCAGTTTGAAGTCAGAAGTCAACTGCCGGTTAATAGACTTTTTGCCGTATGAGTATACGTTGCCCAGGGTACATCACATGGAGGTAAGTCTATCGCACAC